AAAATAAACACACGTGGAAACCCATTAAATAAAAAAAAAGATATTTGAAAGACCGATTATTTGAACAAAAGTCGATATAGTATAAGGTTTTTACCTCAAAGTATGCACGATGTATGCGCGGCGTACTGTCTGAGTACATACTTTTATTTATCCCCGTAATAACCTTATTATTATACATCTTACACCATGGGAATGCCGAAATCCAAACTGTTTAGAACATAATCAGTGAACTTCTTTGTGTTGAATACGGTAAAACTTTGGTGACAGCCATGTTTGTTTTTTATTATTAGAATTTCATATTTGGAATTCGCATTTCCTAATATGGTAGGATGAAAATACCCCGTAAAATACCGATAAATTATGGCACGCTGTAACTTATGGTGTTACGGTGACAGATGTATAATAATAATAATTATAATATTAAAAAAATAATATAACGAATAATATAACAATATTAACACAGAATGCTCAAACCTGAGTAAAGTCAACATGCGCACCAAATTCCAGGTCTGAATCATAATTGAAAATATTTAAACTAAGTATGTGTTGGTAACAAGATTTGCCCTAGCTTTATTTAAATTTTGTAAATAGATTTAATTGATTATGAAAGTGCAAATGTTAAGCTGAATTTCAGTTTTAGACACTTATAAAATAAGGTTAATCACAAACCTCGAAGTACTCTGTAAGCGCAAACCGCAACCACAGCTGCAGATTACTCCTTGTTGCTAATACCTCTACCATACCGTGTTAATAGTTAAGTAGATCAGTGCATACACTTAATAAGTCGGGAAATATCATTCTCTCTCCATGAAAACCAGATGCAGATTTTAATAGGTTTGCGGTTTTTATCCAACCGTTTGTTCCATGTTTCAAACGCAGCGTCTTCTAGGATGTTTATGAAAATGCATCCTTAATTTATTGTGTTATAGTCCAAGATCTAGATACATATGCCAAAAAAATCTCTTAAAAAATGCATGACTGTGTATCTTGTTATTAAAGAAAAATCATTCCGGAATTGCAGTTCCCATGTCACCGGCCGTTGAGCCACATTGCTGACAAAATGTAAATTGTTATTTCGTGTGTAGACGGAATATGTTATGTGCATCCATTCACAACTTTTTTGAGGTATAAAAAATCATTGTCGGAACAGTTGTTTCCATGGCAACCAGAATTGCATGTGACAGCATGTCAATGATTATTTTTTGCGTGCAAATCAACTCCTCCTTTCATCCATGTGTGAATGAAAATCCGTGTTGCTCATTTCCACATCTCTGGCATATCCAACAAATCGATGTTCGTGTTAATAACAACTCATTCTGAAAATGTCATGAGTTATCAAATAAAAATTCATTTCCGAAATATCAAAATTTCAGAAACGTGGATATCTTCATGGACCTAACAAATACGATAGAGGTACACCTACATACGAGATATCAAGGCAATTGGGCAAAACGGGTATAATAGGTTAAAAATACCATCTTTTCTATGAATACCAAATACTATCACCACTAAACAAACTCTGAGTAACTAAAACATTATAGTGTGAAATCAACACGCCGTTAAATTTAAATAATGCAGTTAAATTCATTTTGTACTTGCGAGTTTCACAAAACCTTAAAATTAATATATCTCTGACAAATGAAATTATGCATAACTAATTATGTCATGTGACAGGACGTAGCTCATCTGACATATTCGAATATTTTGTAAATTGGTAAAATATCTCTATGACTGCCCAATTTAATTCCAACAACACTTGTTAACATTAAAGTAGAAATAAATTACCCCACATCACCATCAACATTTTTGGTAACGTAAAACACGAACAGTATGAGGAAGTATTATAATTGGTGGCTTTCTAGAAATGTTTGTTTTTCTCAAGCATTAAAAATAATCTGGTCGATTTGTTTCCCAAATCGGTATGTGCTAACCAAAATCCATGAACAATAATTTGTATAGATTAGGCACCCTTTCTACCAGAGCACTAATTTTGTGTGTAGACATTGCTTGAATCAGCAACTGCCTGATTAATATTGTTTATTGATAAACATTGGTTTTACATTAAAGTTGGACAAATGTAATGATGATTTGTCATAGCTGTTATAATAGGTGTACATTATTGTAGCATTTAAATATTATGTAAATATAATTATAAAATAACAACATGCTAATTAACTGAAATGTCCCTTTCTTTGTCTGTTCAATGCCGTACTGCACAAATACTGCAATTACATGTGATAAATAGGGTGTGTAATTATGGCGATCGCGCCTAATTAAGAAATTCTGACGATTACTACTTATTTTTGTGTGTGAAATTATGATTAATTCCTATGGTGTATTTCAAAAATGTATATTTTTTTGTTTTTGAAAGAAATATGTTTTATGGCGTTCCAAAATAGAAAAGTTATCATAATCACTAATTATGTGAAATTGCTTTTAAACCAAAAATTAAGTGCCCGCGAACGTAATTAAACCTCACAAAGAACCGCGTTACAGATCATAGTCATTATGCATTTGATGAGAGGAAATATGAATTTACAGTCGCGAGGGGGGGGGGGCATTTGATAATACCATTTTAAATCGGAAATGAGGGACGTTATCATATCAATTGCTTTGAATACATTAAAATGATAAATTTGATAAATTGTGCTCGTTAATAGTACATTCATTTGGAGTCTGTATGTATTGAGTCAAGGTGGGTTGAAATATGCGTGATCTAATGTTCTTTTTTATCCTCCCTCACTAATTCTACATTCGTAATGTAAATTTACTAATGTATCTTCTGAAATGTCGATTAGGTTGACAAATACATGCTGGATAAAATGTTAAAATCGCGGTTGTCAGTCGCAACAGAATAATATAATTACTCTTCATTATTATACATAGATATGTTTACCCCCCCCCCCCCCCAAGTAAAAGTACTTCGGCGACACCACGAATGATAGAGGGGGTTTTGTACGACATCATCGTATGTTAAGTTTAGGCGTAGGGATAAACGTCACTCGAGCGGCACAATGCCTGTGATTACCCAAAATCCTGTGTGGTTTCTACTAACATGTATTGGTTGTTATAAGTTTAGTACATTTCACCAGTGGATATGCTTTATGCATTCTGAAAGTGTTTACATTGTACAAACGCATGTATTGTAATTCTCAATACTTTCACACCAAATGTTAATTCTATATGTAAACTTGTCGAGAAAATTCTATTCTGTGAAACTTGTATCGCGTATTACTACGTGTTAGGCATTGTGACAATTAATTAAATTGACTTTAAAGCATCCCAAAAGATAATTCTAACAATAATAAAAACCAATTCATGTTTCGAATCAAATCTCATTGTTCTTTTAAATTGTACTAGGGTTTTTATTTAATCGTTCTCGAACAAGGTAAACGTCTTTGTCAAGCGTTCTTTGACTTGTATACACGTCAGTGCAAATTTCACAACGATTACACATTCCGAAATGTCAAAGCTCATGTATACATATATTCATTCACGCATAGTGGCTGGGTTCGAACTCGGAGCTCAAACAGCGGCGGTTTGATAAACATGCTGCCCATTGCGTTGCTTGGATTTTGATGTCGATGATTGGATTTTGGACTATATAATTTCACGTGTTTAGTCATGAATATTCATATTATGCAGATCTTGCGTAAAGATACACCTGCCACAATTTCAGCATGCAAATTGTATGAGAACATTGACTACACATTTCTAAATGTCGACGCTCATACACACATGTACTGGATTCACCCATTGAGTGATGAATGTTCTAGACATTTATAGCATATTTCATTTGGAAATAGAGACATGCGGCCTCGACATTTTAACAGGCGCGCGCCTCCCCCTACATCCCGCAAAAAAATGGCAAATCAATTGACAAACCCAGCCCACCGATTCGCCCCCTTACCGAATTTCAGAATCCGTTGGGTATGTGTTGGGTCGGACTTTAGATCCCAGGTTCGGGGTTTTCGACCGGTCAGAATATTTATTTCCTTTCATAAACTGTCCTGCGACTGTTATACCATAAATGTTCCAGGAATGTTATACGCTTTGTTTCTCATACATTTTCCGAGACTTACAGAAACATGTATCACTTACTGTAAGTTGGACTGTGTTAAGAAGAAACCTCAAGGGTTCGGTTCGAAAGAAGTCGAAGCTCACGCAAAAGTCCATCTTACAGAAACACTGTTCATTGAGCTCATCAACTCGATGTCGACCGTTGCGATTTGGGCTATTCCATTCTATGATATTCCGTTGATTGAAGTTGGATATTTATTAAATGCAGATCCTGTGTATACGGTCCACCTGCTTTAATTTCAGTATGCTAATTTGAAAGCAATGACCACCAATTTAGAAAGGTCAACTCACGCGTGTACTGCATTCATACTTTGCGTGGTAAACGTTCGAAACATTTTATTGCATATAACATTTGAAATTAAGAGCATAGTCCCCTTCCGATTAAGTTTCAAGTCTGGTGAACGGCCATTGCTTTGACTCTTCTGGGATAAGAAGCCCCTCCCCCTGTGGCCTCAACATTACATCTGAGTTCGGACTTTATATCCTAGAAGATTCCTCGTAGTCGGCTTTTTATTCTAAAAACATGTGCACCAATTGCGAATGAGACCTTGTGACCAACAAGACTTGACAGCGTGTCAAACGTACTGTGTATAAAGGGTAAGTAGATAGCACTGTCATGCACTAGTAAAATACTAGTATTAATATTATTACGTTCGCAACTAGCAGGTGTACTTAATGTTCAAAAGTATCCACATAAATTACTGACGTGCATAGTATGTTAGTAAAACATGACGTAACTCGTACGAGTGTATGCAAGTGACGTCTTAGTTTTGAAAAGTGACACTTCATACATATGTATGTGTAATGTGTATATAATTGCATCGAACAATGATAGCCATCGCGTATGTCGGGGTATATGGGTGTCAGTACCATTAAATATTCATGACTAATAATTTACCCGTTCCATTAGTTTGAGTCAAGCATTCGATCAAGATGGAGTTTATATGGATTCTCGTCGCTACCTGCCTCGTCGCTTGTTCGAGCACGTCCCTTGTATACAACGACACAGTTACTGATGTATACGATGCAGTCAATTCTGATTACCCTTTCTGGCCGTTTACTCCCACCATATACTCAGAAGAACAGGAGAAAATAGGACTGGAACGTTGGATTCAGCATAATGATAACCTACCAGAGGTTTGCCGTACAGGTAAGACACTCGCATCGACCGTACATTTACTTACATTCCTATATCCCTCGTCACTTTTGGCGACTACGATTCCGATTAATGTGGACTGGTGTGCACACTATATACAACTGTGATATTATAAATGTATATTCGGATTATTCACTCAAAGAAAAATTAAAGTTAATGTGTTTCGTTATCTGATATTAGTATTGTGTATTCCAAGAACGCTGTGTTTCCTACTGGTCATATCCATTCTTGTATTCATGTAAATAGATTACATCCATCTACAACGTTCAGCAGATACATCAAGTAAACTGTAACATTAATGGCTAATTATTTCTTGTATTCAAATACATTATGTTATTTTAATAACGGGGAGAGTTGTGAGAATGTGACAGTGTTGCGCGCCATTGGTTTGTTTAATATTCCGTAACTACGAATACTGTAACGTTGTGGCTCGTATAAAATATTTTCTAGACGAACAAAATATAATTTACCTCACTTGATTATTATCTATGATGCTATTATTAATAATAATCTGAGCGATGTATATCAAACTGTTTGCACAGTAAATGTTTACTTTGACTTGACATGATATATACCCGTTAATTCGGTAATACTTTCTATGTCAGCTGCTACACTTAATCCTCAGTACCTATTCACTATTATTAATGCTGCAATACTGCCTGTGAGTAATAACATCTTGTATAGATACAAGGGCTATTGACCCAATGTCTGTCTACGCCGTATGGCGTGGATCGGCGTGGACGGCTTTCGCACTCTCCGCACGTAATAAACTCGGTTATTAAGCATCCTGAAGATGCCCGGTGGCCGATGCGAAGACGTGCCGTGAAGTAAAGCTGCATGTTTATTTTTATTGGACATAGTATTTACTCCCAGTGTTATGTACTTGCTAAACTACTCGAGGGGTTGACTTGACAAATATTCTTTCATTATTATTATTATTATTATTATTATTATTATTATTATTATTATTTCAAGTTTAATTATCAAAATATTAGCTATACTTCGGAAAATACAAACAGTCTAACAAATGTTAGTATTGAAAGTTATCTTCGTAAAAAAATAAGACAAACAAAGATAATAAAACAACTAATCAAAAAACCAGATTTTATAATAAAGTCTTACAAAAATGCAAGTTTGACAAAAGGCAAACAATTAGGCTATGACTGATTACAGCGAACTTGATTAATTAACAGTCATAGTTTAATTAATATAGGGATTTGCCACATCATTCAATTTGTAATTAGTAACAGTGAATGGTGTAATTAATAACGGGGAGATGATGTCATGCTATTGAATATTAATAATGTGGCTACATTTTGTGGAGTTGTTATTTGCAATGCGCACATTATCCCCGTTCTGTTAGATTAGTGTGTGAAGTCTGTCCGCTTGCCAGTTGGAGTCAATGATCGAAGAGGCATCGATATGTCAAAGACATACACGAGTCTTGACTACATTAGCTGGAAATGTATGTACATATATGAATCGAGTAATACTTCGTTTAACCGTGATCATTTCGCTTGTTGAAATACATTATTTTAATAAATTTATATTGATAGTAACATATAGCCATTAATCGTTACGTTTTACTGAAAATTTTAACAAAAAATGAACGTTTTTATTCGAGAAACTGCTCGAAGGCGAAACCAAAATTGCCGACGGGATGAGTTGCCAAAAAAGCGCATGATGTGAAGTTAGACAACAGACAAATAGTAACACAAGCATGTCCCGAAACGCTAGTAACAACATAAAACAAACAAGGGAGATATAGCGAGTGTCAATGAGCTTTGGTAATCAAAATTCATAGTTTAATTAAAATACAAATGAAACATATCATGTCAATTTTTAATTAGTAATGGTGGGTGGTGTTATTGTTAACGGAATACAGTGTCATGATAATGCATGTGATAAGGTTAATACAGTTTGTATAATTGTTATTCAAAACGCACACTATATCCTTTTCTGTTCGACTAAATATGACGTTTGCTTGCTGTGTTTGCCAGTTGGGGTTAATGGTAGATAGATACTCGTGCCATTGTGTTGAACAGGGACACGAGTCTTGAATATATTAGCTGTTTTTTGTTGTTGTTACGTTATGAATCGAGTGGTTATATTTCCAATTTATTTATATCGAACCCAAAACAGTTTCGCACATTGAAATGAATTCATATATAGAAATTCAATTTCAAAAATGTGTTTTACAAGAGCATGGTAGAAATATAAAACAAACATAACAATCTAAGAAGCGAACATTTCGATGACTTCGTAGGCAGTGCATGTTGAAACTTTGCATCGATATGTTTGTGGTGTTTTTTCGACCATTTGTCATGATTTTGTAAATATTCAACAATCTACTACATGCATCAATATAGGCAAATCTTTAGTTTACTTTTCTTTGTTGTCAAGGTGATATTTTGTGTGGCTCATCACATTGCAAGGTCTCTTTTAATTCAGTGTATATTTCCCTCGTTGTTTTAATTGAGATCAGATTCAGGACAATGAATTCATTTAGAGAATGTCAATTTTGAACTGTGAATGGTAATCTGAAGACAATATTTGACGAACATTTCGATGACTTCGTAGGCAGTGCATGTTGACACTTTGCATCGATATGTTTGAGGTGTTTATTTTCGACCATTTGTCAGGATTTTGTAAATATTCGACAATCTACTACATGGGGACAGTTATGCATCAATATAGGCGAATCTTTAGTTTACGTTTATTTATTGTCAATCTACTATTTTGTGTGGTTCATCACATTGTATGGTCTTTTTTAATGCTTTTAAAAGACGGCTCCATTAAGATCAGATTCATGACAATCTGAGTAAATAACTATATCGTCCACCCACATTATTCTTATGAATAGAATGTGGTTGGTTTGTTTTCAATATTCAATTTGACTATTTTTAACATACTGAAATTTACATACCTGGTCCAATAACTCGAATTATTACATCGATTCAACTTACCCTGGATCCATGTTTATAATTGTCTCATATAGCGATATGGCAATAATGTAGGCGTGACACCTAGGTGACATTAATGTAGATACGACCCCCTGGGAGCCATTCATTTATACACGATCCCCACTGGGCACACACGTTCTCCCAATTCATCAAAATGGGCCATAACATTGATTTAAAAAGAAACAATATTGTTCAACACATATATTTGGTTTTTACCCAAATTAAGCTATTATAATACTAAAATATCGTGTAGACAGTTAATTCATGCAATCAACAGCCATCCACTGGATATGACTAAATTTTCAGATGTATATATACATAATACAAGGGTTGCGCAAATCATTCCAAAGTTTGACTTCGCAATCCATCATTAGATCACCTTATTCAAACATATGTCCCATTAATGTCTCGTTTTGTTTTGTGCTACAACTCATTGCTGATTAAATCTTTTTCTTATGGGAAATAATGCTCGTTTTATTTAGTCTAGAGACGGTGTCGTTAGATTATAACGTCAGTGTAAAGTACCTCGTAGATGGCACTGGAAACAATCATTGCACGCTGTAACGACCTTCGATAATCCCATGTGGGCATAGATATATTAGTCTTGCTGCCAAATAACAATTTAAATATGATTGATACACACTTAAAGATATATTACATGTACCAGTCATTAATGTCAACGCTTGTATATTGCATTACTACATTTTCTATTATAATGACTCGTTTCCGTCTTATGGATATTTTGTCTTTTTGTTACAAATACAAAAAACTCCCCTAGCGCCAGTAGCTATTGTATTGTTTATGTGTCAAACAAAATATTATATGTGATAATTGAAATTAGACATTTATACGCTACGAAAAGATCACTATTTTCCCTTTTAGTAATAGTTCCTACTGGGAAATGAAAAAACTAAATGAACATAACAATCATGTCAACATATGAATTATTAGTTGTGTTTTTGACTGTATTGATGGGGCCTATTGTTTAATGACTATCTAAAAATTGGTCCATAATTACTATTTGCGTCTTTCTGTGTTAGATATATAATCATTGTCACTTTTGATTAAACTTGTCAGATCATACTTTTTTATGATTGTGGAGTATTTATGGGGTGAATGCATTCTCAATCAGTTCTTATTTTGTGTAGGGTGATATTTTGGTTCATATCTGCTCAGTACATCCGAGGAATATACAAATTATGTGTTAATACAATGAGTTCGAGAGATGCGCTTCATACCTTTTTATTAAAATTTAAGTTAAATGATAATTTAATCATTATAAAGTTTAATAATACATTACTAAATAAAGCTTTCCCGTTCAATATAAAACTAAAAAGTGAGTGGTATTTGGATGTTACGTCATTCAAAACAGGATATAAACAAATATAATAAATATGAATTAAATAAGAAAAACTGAATTAAATGATTTTGCTTTGTAACAATTTATGCGGCTATTGAGTAGGTGTTAATAAATATGTTTCCTTTACAGATATATGCTACAGTCAGTCTACTACGAATCGCAAAGGAACCTTCAATTGGTCGAGGTCATACGCTGGAGATAATGTGACAGTCACGTGCCCACATGGCGGCTTGGTATCTTCTGAACGCCCTGCCATATCCCACAGGACATGCGAGTATACATCCTCTTATGGTGAAAACTATTTTGCATATTGGGGAGCTCCAATCACCGCCGACTGTCAATGGGAATCAACAATTACACAGGAGCTGTTTCACATCATGAAACAACTGGTAACAATATAGATGTGGTGGACAATTTATTCTGCTGGAGGGGGTACACGTGTATTATGCGATATTATTGGCATGTGTTTTCATTATGTTTTTCAATGCGAGTTTGTTAATTTCAGTCTACCTAAATTTATAGGTGTTTGCTCAGATTCTGACTTCATGGGTGTGTTGTTATTGTTTGTTACAGTAGTCATTTTCGTGATTTATTCAGATTATATTTAATTATGGATGCTATCATAATTCATTTCTGTGCTTCAATTACAGCACAAAGATGGGGAGACTAACGTAACGTTTTAAAACTTTGATTGTCTCCGTTTCAGAATGCTTTGAATAAAAAATATTGCACAATTTTACGGATCTGTTGGAACGCTTCAAAGAATCAAGGGAACCAATAATACCCGTGTTTATGCTGTTCATGTTGCTGTATATTTCATTCAGAGATGGAGATACTAGTTCAAGCGAGTTTAACAAAACATTACCGCATATTTCAACACAATCAATAAATTGTTGAATTTATAAATAGTCTTAAACGTTGGTTTCAGGATAACATAGATAATAACTCCTCTTCAGTGGTGCATCTTATGATGAATGTTCAGCAACTAACCAGTAACCCTGACAACTTGACTGAAATTGACGTTGATATCATCTCTGATATTATTGAAGTTGTTGTGAGACAAATGTTTATTCTGTCAGTGCGTGATATGCATATGGTTGGGGGGACGTTGGTAGATGTGGTTAGCCAATTGACTGAAGTGGATATTGATGTATTATCGAGGGTGACAACGGCATGTGGAAGGTGAGTGTTTGGTAATGGAGTAGTACACTACTGGAATAATCGCTAATATGCTAAATCATTAAAGTCGGTGCTTTCATTCAAGGTAGAGATTCCACGATATGTATCATATAAGTAATCAGGGCAACATTCAATCATCGGTAGCGTGAGACTAGTCAGTACTTAAAAGTAGAAACAGTGGCTCCAATTGTCAGAGCCACATAAACCAATTAAAGTAACAGGACAATCAGAGTACAATCAAAGTAATCAGAATAGAACCAATTCATTCATGTTATAATCAATCCAGTAAGAGTGCAATCAATCCAATCATAGTATATATAATCAATCCAATCAGAATAGATCCAATCCAATCAGAGTATAATCAATCCAATCAGAGTATAATAAATCCAATGATAGTATATATAATCAATCCAATGATAGTATATATAATCAATCCAATCAGAATAGATCCAATCGAATCAGAGTATAGTATAATCAATCCAATCAGAGTATATATAATCAATCGAATCATAGTATAACCAATTAAATCAGAGTATAATCAATCCAATCAGAGTATAACCAATCCAATAAGAGTAAAACCAATCCAATCATAGTAGAATTGGTTCAATTGGAGTAGCATCAATCCAGTCAAAGTAGCTTACACCAATTCAATCAGAGTAGCATCAAATCAATCAAAATAGAATCACTCCAATCAGAGTATTTATTCACGCGACTACTTGACATCAGTCTGTGTCACAGTGTGTCGTGATATTATATTATATTAAAGACTACTTCAAACTAATGTTTGCCTTCATATAATATACAGCATTACAGATAATTTAGAGTTATATATGGAGAATATTGAATTCGATTATCAGTCAAGCATCAAATACAAATCAGAAAACATAGACGTTGATGTTCGCCGTATGCGCGACACATTTGAGGGTGGAAGTGATACCGTGTCTGGTAGCGATATCGGAAGCTCGGGATATTTTGCCTGGTCCAGTGAAGACGATAGCTCTAGATCGACTCATGGGGTATTATTGACTATACCATTGGATCCATTGTGGGCAAGTGGTAAGTATAGATGTATCTGTTTTGATATAATCCATTATAACTGTCTCATCAAAAAATAGAAGTGTGTATGTATATATATATATATATATATATATATATGTATTATTGAGCATGATATTGTATTGTTAATTGCTGTATTTTCGAAATATGATACCTAAACGATTGTTCATGATTAAATTTATATTAGCAATTCATAGTTACGGTATTCATGTATGTCAACCCTTTGATTCAGATACAGACGGTATGGAGGATAGTTCCTTTGTCCGATCTCAGCGAAGTATCGGCATGCCACTCATGCCATCTGACCGTCTGGTACTCATTGTGTATTATGATAACAGTTTATTTTCCGTGCGTAATGATTTGCCAGGACCCAATAATACACCGTCTTCAAGCCTTGAGGTGTCAAGTACGGTGGCATTCTCTTCTGCCATGGTACTTGGTCAAATGGTAACACAGCTATCGGAACCTGTTCGGGTAACTTTCCGAAAAGACGACATAGATGTGAGTAAAACATCGTGTCACCTTTTAAGTAGGAGAACGCTAGTCTCCATATAGTTGTTATGCACTTAATGTCTATACTTACCGTAAAGGAATGGACATTGGTAAAAGATTTTTTTATTACGGGTTATCGGTTAGGTTTCCTTTCCTCCTTTTAACATGTATTTATGTATATTATTGTATACAGGGTAACCAGAGCTCAGTCTTATGTGGTGTGGACCCCGGATTCGACATGATGGGTGAGTGAATATGCGATTAAATATTAGTATATTGTTTTATCACTCGTATGCACTAAAATGAATGATTAATCAAAATAATACACGACATTGGCAAATTTCAACAACTGGTTCATTGTATAATACAAAACATATCCATAATCATTAGTTAAATCATAAGGTACGTGGTTGAAATATATCGAAGAAACAAGCTTTTAGAGTGCAGTTGTTTCCAAGAAGGTTACAAGTGATTCGCTAGCAGTGTTTGTGCATTTAACAGAATTAAATATTCAATCGTTATCATTCACTGTCAAGTGTCCTGATTCATATGCCATATTCTCATCATCATATGACTGGTTCATGTAATTGTAGATGACGCGATGGGTTGCCAAGAAGCTTTTATAACTGGACTGTATATCACATGTCTGTGTGATATTCTTGGAAGTTATTACATTATGACTCAGAAAGCAGCTCCAAGTACCATTATCAGTGTGAGTGCATCAGTTTGATTTGTTTTAAATTGCTTGCGGTAATTAATGTTTTAGTATGATTTAAGCGTCCCAAATTATCAGCAGTGTGATATTCATAATTACTAAATAATTTAACCACACTCATCAAATTAATTATGCCAAAAGAGGGATTCAGTAACAGACTTATATTTTGAACTGTTGAGGGTAGTGGTGATATAATCAGGATATTTATTCGTGGAGACATCAGATACAGTGATAATACAGTGAAGTGTAAACTTGGTTTCCAGGCGATGGCTTTACAGCCACGCCTAGAGACAGACCTCCCGTATAACCTCCCGTATAACCTCCGCTCCCGTATAACCTCAGCTCCCTCTTTCTCATCAGTCCCCCTATTTATAAGTGAAACCACGTGATATCGTGACGTCACCACGACGCCTAGCACAAGTCAACATGATTGGTTAGAACTTACCAACATGCCAAATAAGGAGTGCTAGACAGTCATGGTGACGTTTGACACGGCGTGTATAAAAGTGTTAATATGGTTTAGGCTTTAAACAATACATTAGATATTACATATAGGTGTAGGAATGTGAAAATTAAAGTAATAAGCATGGAAAAGTTAACACGTATTGAAATAGACAATTGAATGCAATTGTCATGTCATACGTGTATGCGGGTACCACATCAGATTGGTGACAATTCATTTGAATTGTTTGAATTATGCAAGAAATTAGGATATCTGATTTTTCAAAATAGTACAAAAGCTATTATTGTTTTAAGAATCTTGTAATTAGGAAAGCATGAATGAAGTGAGTTACCATAAAATACCCATAATTTTTTGATGGAATTTTTTTCACAGTTGACATTCTTGCCGCTCCAGACTTTTGTGTACACCAAGTGCACGTTCTAAATTTGCAATATAGTGCACTTTGACGCAAAAGACAAATTTCATTTTTGAGCTACGTGACAGGGTCGCGTGACCGTATTCATATCCATATCCATATAGATAAAGAATAAGATAACAAATGCTTCATTGCAACTGTTCAGACAAGTTGATTTATCTATATTAGAAATAAAGTTAATGAAAAGTCAATAAAAGTTTCAATAATAATAAAATAAAATAACTGAAAAAGATAGTAAATATAATCCTGTTTACTAGTGTTTTCGATAATGAAACTATAATATTGTGGTTTGAGCATAAATTGAAAATGTTCAAACTTTGCGAATGTGTTGTTTAAAATGGACGATTTGTATAGTGATTCTATCGTAAATAACACTTTGAGCACTTGGTACACTCAGCCTCAGTTACAGATCTACCCGTTTTGGTGTTCAACACTAGGTAAGAGTTTGGCTCGAGAAGATCCAAAATTTGGCAACTTCATTTTGACAATACTCTTTCAAAGTCAAAGAAACAGGAACGCACATGTATGTATGTATAATTGGTGTGTGCTGTTGTACACTTCTAAACGTTTCCATAGACTAAAACTATTTTATTTGCAGTCATAGTAGTGCTTAATGTGCATTGTATATTCCAGGTGGATGATGAACGAGCTGGGGGGTTCGAGTTCTTAGTAAGTGTTCTTTTTTTCGATTTGTTTTTCATGTAAATATATTTTGTGATTCCCGGTGTAAAAGTTCATCGTTCTAACGAGTGTGAAGATTCACGGTTTGATTCACTACGATTCGCGTATCATTCGCATATTATCCACGTGAGATTCGCGTATCATTCATACTTTCATCAATTCTCGCAAATGTTGATATATGGCAATTGGAGACAATATAACAATATCTTTGCGTGGAAACACAATAGGATCTGCTTAATATATTTTGAGAAACTCGGGGTTATAAATATTTCACACGAATATACGGTTGTCGCTACCCTCGGAAGTTATGGGGGCCCAAATTTCGTGAACATGAAAATATGTAAATAAAAATATATTGTCTCAAGTTATCCCCTCTCAGTGTTACAAATGAAAATCTCTAAACCAAGGACAATAGTTGTTATTTACATTCATCCCCCCCCCCTCCGTGCGTACGCAAATGTGTCAAGACACTGTCATGCGCACTATATATTGAATTATTTATAACCTTGATTTCTGTTTTCAGAAATACTAAGTTTATCCTAATTTCTCAGCACAAAAATATTAAACTTCCATATACCAACATTTCCGTGAATTATATTTCATTGGGAGTATGAATCGTGTGCGAATAGCACGTTAATTGTACGTCAATCATACGTGATTCACAGGTATTATACTACTCGTTATAGTTAGCAAAGTTGGTTCAGTATTCAGTTATGTTATCTATGGTTCATATAAATATGAATATTGTCCGAATACTGGAGTAAATATCTGTTCTATTTTACGAAATGAAATAACTACTATTTAATATCCTCGTTTGTATTTGTAATGTTTTTACATCCAGCTTTTTATTACACTTCCTGCCGAGTATCGTGGCACTGATTTGTAAAAATGCGGTCACACTAAGTTAACATTAAGACACCACACTGCGTCACCCTCGCGGTGCACATATTTATCGTGTTGGTTTCATCTCACCATTACCTTCCAGGGTTTTCCGTATATAGAAGTTTTATCAGTATTTACGTTTATTGGTTTTGGCGTCTCTATAATTAGTCTTGTGATGACGATTTCAACATTTGCCGTGTTCAGGTAATATATATTGATGGTTATGTCATCGAGTGAAGGCTCTTTTAAATCAATATTTGAAATATAAAATTTGTCTTTATTACTGTTTATTAGTAGCTTAATTATTCCTAGAAAAGTATTTTCGATAACCTACAATGAATAACAAATGATAATTTGCGACAACAGTCATGTATTGCCTGAAACTGTGTATATACGTGCTTCTTCTGACACAACTACCTACCTCATATTTAACGTAATAAAGGGTGTCTTTTCCTGAAGTGAAATTTTAATAATAAAATATTTATTATTTCGCAGGCAACTTCGTAGAGGGCGCCCTACTATTATTCTTATGAATCTTTGCGTGGCGTTGTGTCTGCAAATGACCGCGTTCCTCGTACTCATCCCAGTTGTAGACAATCAATACGGCTGTCGCTTTGCCAACGTTCTTAAGGTGTATCTAATCCTCGTGACACTAATGTGGAATGGGGTGGAAGGACTCAACATGTACCTTGCATTGATTCAAGTATTCACCATTCATATCACACACTTTGTGCTCAAATGTGGAATTATTGCTTGGGGTAGGTCACATGACGAAGTACATGTAATGATATTTTTCTCTGCTTTGTGTTTGCATGATAGTTTGTTTCACGCATCATTTCTTGATGTTACCTATGGGGCGATGCGTGAGTAATAAAGTAAATTTTCTGAAATATATGTTAACAAATGCGTGCCCTCTGCAATTATAGGCTTGTAAACAAAGAAACACAATGTTATATTGATGGTTTTGGCGTCCTGAGGAATATTTATTTTCTGTTTATTGAGTTTATGAGTTACACAAACGCTGCTCTGGTTTTATTTTGTGGTATAACAATAGTACACTTTTCATGACTAAAGCAGCAACGATCATGGAACTACATGATGCAAAAATGTTGTTTTTCAGTTGTGCCAATTATTATCGTCGTACTACCACTATTGTTCGACTCCGCCTTGTATGATGGTTTTTATTCCACGGAAACTGCCCCCTTGTGTCCCTTTGTGTAAGTATAACAGAAACTTTATTTCTTAAACAGATTTCTCCGTAAATTCTCGAATACATTACATTCTCAATATTATTGGGACTACATCCGAATCAATATAATATTAATATTTTTATGGAGATGGATGCAATCTCAGAAACATATTTTTTAATGATTCAAGTATTTGAAAATAATGCAGTTCAATTCAATTAAATAATCGCATAATCCAGGAATAGGCCAAATAAAGCTATATTATTGCTATATTATCTTTTGAAATGCATGAAGACATTAATTATCTTACAACCTTTTTTATGGGTTTGAAGTGCATTGCTGGGCTCTTTTTTGACTCTGAAATATCACACCGTCAATGCGCTGAATGTCAGATGAATTACGATGAATCTAATTACATAATCAATTGAAATGTTATTCAGAGATTGTACATTCAATCCTAAGATTGACACGTTTCAAGCTACGTGACCTTGTTTTTTCATTACTCCACACTATATATTTTCAGGAGAAGATATAGTTTTTTACTTTAGAGAATGTTTTTCTTTCTAATATATTTTAGATGCCAGCTTCCGCGGACAACATTTTTCTTTGTATTATTATTGCCAATGTCTTTGATAATCATTGGTAACAGCATTGTGTTTATTCTTGTTCTACGAATTCTGCGACGTAAAACCCAAAACGGTAAGTATACAGAAAATATATCAAAAATCCAATTTACGCATTTTAGATTTATTCTTGTGCAGACATTCATCATAAATAGAAAATACATTGAACATCAAACTTTAATATATACACATATAAGAATAATTTATCAAATAATACTCAGTGACAATAATATTTATGTTATGTTTGATATTCTTAAGTGAATATTAGATAACAACATCACAGTGTCGTGTGTACATTCATGTGTCAACAGAATACATAAAATTAATTAATATGTATTTAGTGTTGCAAGATAAGTAATTTACTTTCACGAGACAAATGCAAATATGCCACAGCTAGTTGACATACTTAATAATTGAAACTGAAAGTGATCAGCGCAAGTTTCAAAACTTATCAGCTCTCTTCGAACGCACGCATTTCTCCTATATGGAGTAAAATGTTCATTCTATAGAGCAAACTACTTCACCAACATTGTCGCGTTGGGGGTTATTAACGTCACATTCAAACACTGTCCTTTGTTTATATTGGAAGAGGAAGCGCTATGTGCGCGATGGAAATAGAACCCCGGCACTGAATTGAACGTCCGGTTAAGGTTATCGCGAGAATACCGCGAAGTATGCACACAAGCATTGCCTTAGTGAATACTCTGCAGTGTTCAGCAATAACCACATAATATTATGCCATTTCACACATAATATTAATACGGCACTCCATATACTTCCTGCCCCGGCGTTCGCAATTTACTCACGCCTATTACGTTTATTCACAGAATTTATTAATAATAATAGTTTAATATTAGGTACGACCGACTGTGGATAGTCTAGGTTTGTCCGTCGTGGGACAGGTTAGAATCCCCCTACTGTTACCCGGGGTAACGTCAGACAAGGTGTTTTGGGTAGCGATTAGAGGTAAAGTTACAAATAGGAACCTTTCTTCATGTGCATTTAATGTCATCTTTGTACACATGTACAGTTAATGTGTAGGTGATCACGTATCGTAAATGCAATGAAGCACATTCCGTCATATGCATGGTGACTGTTGTTTTGATTTAGGTAACCAGTCCAGTAAGTTCGTTCAACTTCGTGGTGCTGTTGCTATGCTGTTACTATTAGGACTTGCATGGATCTTTAGTGGATTTGCGGTAATAAACTATGGCAGTGTTGGTAAAGATCTTCAGGTCATACAGATAACATTCCAGGTACGTTTGTGTGATTTCCACTCGATACTTATTAGGCCAAAAAAAAACTTATGTTGCCCTCAAGTCGTAAAATTTATAAATTGGGTTGGTTAAACTCGTGAAAATATCGTAAATAGTCGAGGTATACGGGTAAAAAACGCGAGCCGATATTTCATATTTTTGGTCGGTCGCTGAGGGCATCAAAACATTTTTTGACCTGATATATACTTACTGCCAATGTCAGGTGAACTGGAAAGCGTGATTTCGCTATTATGTTGAGATGTGAAAGAACATTAATCTATGTTTCATTGGCAATTGCGATTTTCTAATAACCGTTGAGATTTGCAAATGAGAAATGGGTGAGAACAAAAGAACTAAGTACTTTCTTATTTATTGATTTATTTATATTTCTGTCGACTGTCTATATCTCTGTGTCACACTTTGAAATATATGTTTCTATATATACAGCATTTTGCTGGTAGCATGGCAGTCACGTGTGTTCCATTTATATAGTCAAAATTATTTCTAGATATTTAGGTGACACGTGAAAATGTTTTCAATTTCCAAGGTTTTTTATTTACATGTGATCATAGTGTGAAATAAATCATTTAAATTGGAATTTCAGAATATATAATAGAATAAACAATATTTATAGAGATGTCATCCCTGCAAAAATAATTGCCCATTACTGAGTATATTTGTTTATTTCACTGTCGACAGTGTCTCTTCGTATTCTGCATCGCTTTTCAAGGATTCTACATCTTCATATTTCATTGTGCACGTCATCAAGAGGTCAGGGCCACGTGGTTGCAATGTTTCTGTAAACGGAAAAGTGACGACGGCAGCGGCTCGTCATTGGTGAAAACAAAAACATCGTCAGGTGATCAAGTAATCCCTAATTTGAAGCAAACCTCGGACGCCGACTGTTCAGCGCTCACCAGTTTATGAGGGCCGAATATGAGTTTGACTATCGGTATTGGCAAGAACTAAGATGTTCACACTGTTTAGTTACCAAATTGTTAAAAGCAGGCAATATTTCGTAATATTTATTGAGGAAAAGTGCAAACACGATATTATTTTAATAATTTTTTTTTATCATAAAAACCAATGGTTTTGTATCATTATCAGTTTGGTGATCATATTGTTGTTATCTTGTCTTATGTTTACATGAACAAATTCACGTGTGTAAATGTCAAGTGAAATGTCTTAGTGGTAATCTGTTTTGATTTGTCGTCAAATAAGTGCATAAACATTCCAAAATATGTGTGTACAATATCGTCAACAATTATGTTTCGTGTTTAAAGCAACTGTAATTGACTATTCCTTAGTTTTCATAGTATTCGTTCAGTGTCGAAACCGACCAACTGACCTCTAAGAGCTCAAAAATAAATTGATTGACCTGCTTGATAACTTTTTTCTCCGTTCATACTTCATATTGCAACGTAATGTCAATGTAAGACAGATTTGCCCATATTTAAAACATTTTATCAATATTGCATAATAGTACCAGTCTGTTGTTTTGAAATTTACATAAAGTAATAAAAGTATGAGTGTTTTAAAATTGTTTTAAAAACATAAGTATACTATGATTCTTTATAATTTATAAGGGAATGAAATTTACTGCTATAAATATAATGAATAGATTGTCTTTCAAAAATACCGATGATCAGATCAGGTCAAGTCAAAAACAATGAATCTAAATATACTTGTGTAAATAAAGTATTGTACAAAAATTCATTGTGTATTATTGGTTATATAATCATATCTATGTATTATGTATGTTTTCATATTTGTGGGCTTGATATATATGTATTAAAAGTTCAGTCAGCCTAAAATTTACAAAAATGTTGCCATTGTTTATTTATAGATTATCAATAATGATAACAGGTATTTAAATAATGTAGAAATGTGAATCAAGTGAATCTTAGTGAAATTGTTAATTGTTCAGTGTTGCAACATATTCTTTCTGGTTTCTTCTAACAGAACATGTTTTGTACCGAAATGCTGTGCATATTGTGCATAGTTAATATCGACCGAAAGTTCAAAACAATTTATATTTCACATTGCCGTCCGTATGTATGTGCTGCAACGACCGGGTACTTGTTCAAGTCACAGTCCCTCTAGGACTGTGTTCAAGTAGATGAACTTGTTCAGGATAATTCATTCATTTAGTTGCCGTTCGTAGTTCTTATTGAACAGGAGGCGCACATGAAAAAAAGGACACGGTCTGTTTCCCCATTTGTCAAAATGGTCTGTACAAAACACATGAAGTTTGCAACTTTTGATTGGTCTGAGAATGGTCATTTTAAGTGGAGAACGCAAAATATCACATTTTAAGGCAAAGTAGAACATACTTTCAGATATTTGTAATGTGCAACTAACGGAAAATAAGTATAACGTGCATAGTTAAATGTCATTTTCTATGTGTGAGATATGTTTGTAAATTAGTGATCTCGAACCTGGAATTATGACTGACAAACTAAACAACTAGTGACATGCGTACAATGAACTCGGCAGATAGCCCAGACATGCGTACAATGAACTCGGCAGATAGCCCAGGCTCGTACATTGACTAACAATGTTACTTATAAGCAACATGTTGACAATGCGTAAGACTTAAAAGCGTAATTTATGTTAGGTCATTTATACCCATTTATAATCAAAATCGATTTAACTGCGTGGAAGCACTGTCCACTGCCGTTGTTGTTTTATGGCTACAGCAGATAAGAGAATTGTAACAACACAAATTCACAGTGCGTGCCACCCGACTAAGACGTGTCCAAGCGGTGTCGTTTAGCTTAAATACCCAAAGGCACTTTGCTGGTCGTGAGATACTCATGTGCGTTCTGAATTTCGCGGAGAAAGGGGTATATTTTTTCAAATTTGACAAAACACCAAATATAGATATATGATTAATAAGACACAGACGTTTTAAAACAGTTAAAGCAGGTATAAACCGTTGACGAGAGAACATTATCATATTATGCATCTGTTGGCTTTCAATGTCAACAATATATTTCATAATGAGAAGATACCTTCAAAATAACTTCTTATTTTAATAACCAGTCTGTTCCCATCCTTACAAATACATACGTACAATCTCCTTTAAGATTTATTTCATTTCTTCATTCAATTATCAGCCTTGTTGGCAATGTTATTATCTTCATGTTATTCCAAATGTTACTCTCTGACATATACCCTAATATATCAACTGGAGTCACACTTTTAAATATCATTGTAAATTCGGTTGCAAATGTATTAAACGAGAATGTAGAAATGGTTACGTTAGCAGAGTTAATTATAAGTGAAGTATATTGTCAAATATATAGTCATGCATCAAAAGACGACCAAACACTAGACTGAGTGCGTTCAATTTCCTGATCGAACTCAATGATAGATATGTTGTGGGCTCCAACCAATATAGTATTTGAAAGGCCCACATACTAGTCAGTTCGATGGCGCCAACAATGTCGCATTTGAAAAGTTAAAATTGAACTGTTGTTAGAAGTCTTTCACGCAGCTGGAATGACATGGATTTTGACTGTCAACAAATGACGAATTGTTATGACATTAGCTAAGAGCCTCGTAGATAAAACAAGTTGTCTACGATCAATAGCACACGTAGCATAAATGTATTGCATAGTCATTCATTACGAGTGGTGTACTCGACGTTTTTCCATCTACCTACGTTTTACAACACGAGAATATCTGCATTTAGATCGATGAGTTGGCAATCAATTAATTTAAACTTAAAATAGGCTTTGTTATAAAAAGAATAACAAACATTGTCATTCCAACTGAACAGCCAATCAGCGACGGCCTTACAGTTAGATGACAAATTCGGTGTAATTAGGTGCAAAGTATTTTCCACACAAAAACGACGCATTCGACCGAATTTCCTTAGCGGTTGGCTTAATATTACCTCCAGCGGATCGTTTGGCTGTGAAAGATATGGCTGTCGTATTTTGTTCCTGATTTATAGGAATCTTAAAAGCGTTTCACAACTTGTCTATTTATTTAGTTTCCCGCCTTTTTTGAGATGGTGGCTCCTAGTCTATCATGCAGGCGTGAGTAGGCCCTCGACGGCGGCCGAACGGCATCAGACCTCACTAACTTGGGTTTGGAGCACTGCGGAGGGCGCAACTCACGCGATCCCGTCAGGCTAGGCGGCCCCATATACATTAAATATCGCTGGCGCGCCAGCTTACTGTGTATAGCTAGTAGTAACTGAACTAATTGAGATGGATTTTCTGGCAGTCTTTGGCAGTTTGATGTGAATTAGTCAATGCCAATTGAAGGTGCCCACAAGCAACTTTATCTCGGTCGATAGAGGGCGCCGTCTCTGCAGTCTGACCTTCACATTGCTCCAATGTAGCAATACACGTGTCTGTGTGTGTGGATGGGTGGATGGATGGTTGTGTGTATTATTAGCCAAAAAACACTCAGACATAGCTCATTATACTCAGCTTGAGTGTGGACACAAAGACCGGGCACAAAGTTAATCTTTTTTCATTACCGAGAAATTTGACCTCAAAGTTGGGGTATTTTACCAGTGACGGCTTTTTAACTCTTCTATGATTTTTTTGGCTTGGCTGATTTTGCTAATACTTCGTAATCAGGTCACACTGTCGCCAATCGGAAATGCCTGGCCCACTACTGCCATGGCAACAGCCAAAAAACTGAGTTTTGAATACTTTCGTCCCAAATGTGTTACCTACTTCCAGTCTTGTGATGGCAGTGTTCAAATGATCGTGCTTTTTATCTTGGCTACGTTGCGCACGGACAAGAAATCACCGGCGCCATCATTGTTACACTGTATCAACGTAATCTCAACGCAACTTTGAATGAATTATAAATGCTGCGTTGGATCAAATAATCTAGAAAATACAATCGCAAAACGGTCGGAAATAATAAATATAACAGGAAAATACGTGCTAGTAATAAGGTAAAGTGACTTCTGAAGACTGAATGTGGTTTTAGTTATAAACTAACGTTAGCTTCAAGTTCATGTCCTACCATAGCAACAGCCGAAAACATGTTTGTTTTTGGAGCGGAGCGGATCCCCAACCAGGCTACCGGCTTGTTTCAATAATCAGTCTGTTCCCATACTGTCTTACAGATAGTCACGAACAATCTTGTGTAGTGAGTTCAACCATGGAAGCGAAATGTTTCAACTACAAACAAACATTGTAGAACTTTAATGTCCAAAGGGCGGTGGTCGTCGAGCCGCTTATGGGCAGCATTTGTGTTGATAAACATTGATTTTCCCACGATGCAGTGCTATCTTCTAATGAAATCACGAGTAGGAATTTTGACTGGGGGCGATTTGCACTAATGACAATTCCTAATTAAAGCTAGGTAACATCTCAGTTTGTACTCGTTGGTCTGCGCAACAGTCATAGTCGCCCTTTTTGTTTATTATGAGACCCATATCTCGCTCATGTGTGACGCGGCGACCACCGCCACTTGAACATCCAACTACTTGTGACTGGACTACATCAGGGAATCTGAATAATACTCAATCTGATACACAAATTATAATATGTGTTCAGAGAATCAGATATCAAGTGGACTCACAATTTCAAAATCATTGAGGACTCATTTGAAGAACATACCGGTCAGTGGGTCAAATAAAGGGAAGTGGAGCGGGATACTTTATCGAAGTCTGTGAATGCTGTAAAACATTTTATTTTTGGATTCAAAGACTTGGGGTATACATCAGAAAGCCTGTATTTAAAGACCCTGCATCACCTGATAATATACTTCACTTGCCTATCTGATCTTTGAAATAGGTATGATGTCTTCACAGACCAATATTCCAATGAGATAATGTCTGTCTGTAAATCATTACTATTATTTCACATCAAGATTTATTGATGATGTACTTTCCATTAACAATTCTAAATTTAATGATCATATCCTAATGAAATATACATCTGTACTTTACTATCTGATTCTGCTTCATACCAAGATCTGTGCTTTGAACTGAAGGGCCAGCTTTCTATCAAACTACTTTGTACTTCACTATTATCAATTTTCCACATCCTTGCAGCAATATATCAATGTCTACTACCTATAGGTAGAAAACGACTGACCTTAACATTGAACAGTTGTTTGTGGACAAATATAATGAGCTTGTAGTTAAATGATACTGTTACATCGATGATGCCAGATGACATTAATGTCAATTGTCTAATGTAGACATCAGGTTTTACACAAAACATGACTATGATAACTCAGAATGATAAATGGCAGATACCACACGAGGAGCAGAGTGTGCTCATTCTTTGTGAAACACCTGACATCACTCTATGCATACAATGGAGTCCATATATCTTTTACTGATGTAGTGTAGTTTACTTGTTAGTTGTTGTTTTTCTTGTGGATTGTTTTGTCAAGTGATGTCCGTCATTTGTTTGTGTTCTTGGCCTTGTAAATGTCCCAAATCAATTTTTGTTTAAGAATCCACGGTTGGGTTGAGCAGGTTATTTCCAGTCTATGGATATATTGTGGGTGGTTGAACAGATGGATGCAATAAAATAGTAAACCAAAAATCAATAGGAAGAAGAACCACAAGGAAAATGCAAATGTTAAAATTGGCAGCAGCATCAAATCAAATAGAAAACGTGACAGACTGTAGGGTAAAAATGACACTGAATGCAGGCACTTACATGTACTCAAAATAAATTTAATTAGAATCATTGTTATTAAAATCTATATTTCTACATTCATTTCTTTGTATAATTACATTTACTGAGGGTGTACTCTAGCGAAGGAAGCATCATTGGAAAAGCTAAATGAAATATTGGCTTACATATGACAGTGATGTTTCAAACGATTACACATATCCAACATTATACTGTAATGCACAGTCCCTCTATCCTACTGTGTGTAATGGTAGACTACAGTGGAACACTGTGATAAGATTTACAGTGAAAACTGACAAGGTTGTGTCATTGAGATGACTATGTATGTTGTAGGAACAGGACAACTAATAACCTACTTTGTTTCAGTATATTGTCTATCACAGGCGGACAGAAGTAATGTAAATACGTCTAGACTATGGACGAACAAACGTTTGTCGGTATTCAACAACATATTGAAACAAAGTATGTAATCAACATCCAGATTACAATGACAACATCTCGTTGGGTTTAATGTTGGTTTTGTGTTGTGTTTAGATGAAATATAACATAATGAATATAACACAGCCAAAGTTACACACATGGATAAGCCAATACTCGGTATAACACAAAATCTAAATTGAAAAATAAAAACAAGCCTCAAAGTTTAGGTGCAACAGAAGTAGCAAGTGCATAGACACATATTTTTACCTGCCATTTTTCTTTCTGTCTATAATTTGTTTATTTTGAACTACATGGATAGAATTTCAAATAGTCTAAAGTTGATAATTAAGATTTTTTCATATCATTTGGCAAGTCAAAAGCACTGCAAAATGTATATGAAAGAGAAAACTGCACATTGTTAGGCAAGCAATAGTGATTTCAGGTTTGACTTTGGAAAGGTATATAGGTTAACTCTATGTTGGATAGCAACTTTAGTTGTCAAGTAAAAAAAGGATAAATTTAATTGGAATCACAGTAAAACAGGTCATAACAAAATAAAAATGTTTTCAAATACAGGTTCACTGCCAGGCTCGAAGTAACACTAATATATTTAATGCATATACAACTGGCACGAATTCCTTTCAACCCCCATCCACCCATCACCATGGACAAAACTAAATTCTACTTAAAACACTATAGCACTAACGAAGTCAATGATTTCTTTATTAAATACTTCACTCCTGAAAAAAATGATTTAATACCTAACCCCTACCCCCAAAATACTGAAAAAATAATTAACAAGCTCAAACTGTAGAGCCTCAAAACATGCTTCACAATTGGTTAAAACACCATCACATGACTTCATCGAGCCAATCAGAAAATGCATTACTTATCGATACACAATGTCTTTATAGATGATAAAAATAACACATTATTGCCAACTCTTCAGAATTCTAGAACAAACTTCACTACAATTATTAAAATTCAGCACCAGGTTATTAAAAAGTACAATTTAAAATAGTCTCCTATATACACCATATTTCTGATATTTACTTCGTACTTTCAAGCAAAACACCAACATTAACTCAATGAAACAAACTTTCCTACACAATTCAATTTATACAAGTCTTCATTTTCTGATGTACGTTATTCCTGTAAATTACAGCATAGTTTGATAACAGTTGATCTATTTAGTTTGATAAAACCACCATCAATGACAGTGCAAACATTTTCCCTAAGTGTTGAATCTTATATATTTCTATGATTGAACGGAAACGGCAAAACTTATTCATGCTTAGAAGTGTTGGGCACATTATATAAAAGAAAAAAAATACAAAAGATGAAATTGGCATTCAAATTTGTGATGTATATGGAATATTAAAGTAACAGCATCTTTGTAGTCATGACAACTATGAATTCCCAAAATGAAGTCAGTATTTGAATACAAAATTACCACCTCTTGAAGGATACGTACAAAATATGTGGAAACACATATACAGATATATTTTAAATCTGCAGCATAATCAATTTAAATTCCTCAAAGGGGTTCAGTAGTCGGTAAACAGGCCTGATGTGAGGAACAGTCCAACAATTACAAAAATACACATACTGTAGTCGTTAAAAATAAGTTAAGCTGACTGACCTTGTAACTTACTATATAGTTATATTAATTAAATGTGAATTTCAATGTTGTACAACATCATGGCTAAGATACTCCATACTGCTATAATGACATTTATTTATCAAATCATTTAAATATGGGATTTATCCCTGGTATATTTCAGTTAACTCGTCCATCATAATGGACTCTTTCTAACTTGACCTCCATTACCAATCAGAGATTAGAACAAACAACAAAGATTGCACTGTCCAAACTAAGCTATCAGAAGATTTGTAACTCGATTTAGTGTTTCGAATCTACAGTATGTCTCAATTAAGCATCAGTAATCAATTTTGTAAATTTTATTAACTGTTGCATGTCTTGTTCACCAACTGTTTTTATTGAAAATTAAACAGCATTTTCAAATATTATTTAATGGTACAGTACTTGCATTTTATTTCTAATTTTTTATCTAGTTGTATATGGAATTTTAAGCATAAATAAATGATCGTAATTATTAGAACAATTTTTACTCTCACAAAATAAATATCAAAATGAATTAATATAAAGCTTATAGCACACACAGGTTTGGACTATTTGGTACTGCACGGCAAAAAAAAAAAGCTATATCAAAAGGTATTGACCACTTCAATGTGTAAAACTTCTATGCAGCTCAGCTAAAAAAAAAATGTGTGTACTTTTGCAAATCTCTATTACAATATTGTTTACACATTATTCAAATGAGAAGATGAGGTGATTTTTTTTTCAACCATGTGACTTGTTCATACATAGATGTGGTTACAAACATACACACTGCATCACTTACTGCATGTTTTAATGTTCTATCAGATGATTTGTCCATTTAACAACACACACAATACACAACACGCTTTTCTACATCAGAAATCTCTATTTGTGTTCTATTTTGGTCCTGAGCTGCAGTCATAAAATCTCAATCTCCTGGTAATTTTTGCATCTTGGTCTACTCCAAACTGTTCAAGAATTGATCTCATCTTCTGTTAGTAGTTCCAATCAAATGCAACATGGCATATTAGAAGATAAATCATCGCAATAAACGTAGTCACCAACATCATTGGAAATCCAACTCTGAAAAAAAAATACAATTAATCAAGTCAAATATTCACGACCAGTTAAATTATTACGTAATTCAGTGATCTAATAAATATGCATAAGCCAATGGCATTTATCAATCTAATGAATATTCATGAGAAGGCAGAGGTACTTAGCAATCTAATGAATATTCATGAAAGTCAAATGTATTTAGCAATCTAATGAATAGTCATGAGAAGCCAATGGCATTTAGCAATCTAATGAATATTCATGAGAAGCCAATGGCATTGAGCAATCTAATGAATATTCATGAGAAGTCAAAGGTATTTAGCAATCTAATGAATATTTATGAGAAGCCAAAGGTATTTAGCAATCTAATGAATATTCATGAAAAGCCAATGGCATTTAGCAATCTAATGAATATTCATGAGAAGCCAATGACATTTAGCACTCTAATGAATATTCATGAGAAGCCAATGGCATTTAGCAATCTAATGAATATTCATGACAGCCAATGGCATTTAGCAATCTAATATGCATACGAAGCCAAATGTATTTAGCAATCTAATGAATATTCATGAGAAGCCAATGGCAATTAGCAATCTAATGAATTTTCATGAGAAGCCAAAGGCATTTAGCAATCTAATGAATTTTCATGAGAAGCCAATGACATTTAGCAATCTAATGAATTTTCATGAGAAGCCAATGACATTTAGCAATCTAATGAATATTCATGAGAAGCCAATGGCATTTAGCAATCTAATGAATATTCATGAGAAGCCAATGGCATTTAGCAATCTAATGAATATTCATGACAGCCAATGGCATTTAGCAATCAAATGAATATTCATGACAGCCAATGGCATTTAGCAATCTAATATGCATACAAAGCCAAATGTATTTAGCAATCTAATGAATATTCATGAGAAGCCAATGGCAATTAGCAATCTAATGAATTTTCATGAGAAGCCAAAGGCATTTAGCAATCTAATGAATTTTCATGAGAAGCCAATGACATTTAGCAATCTAATGAATTTTCATGAGAAGCCAATGACATTTAGCAATCTAATGAATATTCATGAGAAGCCAATGGCATTTAGCAATCTAATGAATATTCATGAGAAGCCAATGGCATTTAGCAATCTAATAAATATTCATAAAAAGTCAAAGGTATTTAGCAATCTATTATGCATAAGAAGCCAAAGGTATTTAGCAATCTAATGAATATTCATGAGAAGCCAAATGTATTTAGCAATCTAATGAATATTCATGAGAAGCCAATGACAATTAGCAATCTAATGAATAATCTTAAGATTATTGACTTGGACAAATAAGTAATGAAATTTAGAAATAATAAGTTCCAGATGTTTTTATTGTGTCATTAAAATAATTTCACAATTATACAACACCTTTGTGGTTGTAAATTATTGTGCAATTATTAATGGCTATGCCAGTTCGATCAATGTTGACCAATAATAGAATGTCAGTGATCATACATAATACTTTCACTATATGTACCAGCACTGCAAAAATCATCTTCAATGAAGTTTGGCAAAGCACATTTTTATATTAATGCTTTAATGTTAGCTCACACAAACCTAGAGTAATATGACAATTAAATATACTAACTTGAAAAACTGGTTAAACGTAATGGTATATCCATGTTGTTCAGCGATTCCAGCACAGACTACATTAGCCGAGGCACCAATCAATGTACCGTTTCCTCCTAAGCATGCACCAAATGCTAGTGACCACACCAATGGTTTTAATGGCAACACATTACTTACACTAACATTGATCACAATGGGAATCTGTGAAAGAATAGACACATGATAAGACATATATGGCCATGCCAATTACGACATAGTTAACCCCCAAGGCAGAAATAATCATATATTCTTACAATGTTTTTTTTTTCGCAATTTTTGAAATATTCAAAAAATTCATCATTGTGTGGATGATAATTACCGGAAAATTAAATTAATGAATTTAACAAGACTTACCATAGCAGTTGTGAATGGAATATTATCGATAAATGACGATACAATAGCAGATACCCATACTATAGTGATAATAGCTACCATCAATTGATGCTCTCGTGGAACAGACTACAAATAAAATAAAACAAATACAGGAAATATTAAGGTTTAATACATCTGAAACTATGATTTCTAGTAATTATAATATAAAGAATCAACATTTTGTAGGAAAAAGTTCATGTGTGTGTTTCTTGAAGGTTGACAAATATGGTAACTCATTTACATAAGTATCTTGGGAGAATTAGAAAGCAATCACCTTGTTCAAGTGGATTCATAAATGCGTTCAATGCAATGCATTACAAAGAATATCAAATAAATGATTTATACGAAATTTGAACATGCACTTAATAATGACGTTCTGCCTTAAGTGCACATGATCATTTTCTGAATATATAAAACAACACTGTTTCACTTACCGCTATGAGTTCTGATACTCTATCTCCAATCCAATCTATTAAACCTAAATATGCTAAACCCTGGAAGAAATTAAGAAAATATTTGTAACGTATACAAGTGTAGGCACTGGGAAATGTGTGACTGCCCTCAACAGATGAAAAATTACAGAAATGAAATTCCTTATTATACTGAGCTCTACAGTTGAATTAACAAACATGAAATTGACCACTTTCCCGGAAGTAGCAAAACTGGGGTGCAAAAA